AACCGGGTTGGGGGTGGGGGTGTAGCTGTGGTTGGGACAATTATTACATTAACTGATGGACTTGTAAATAAATAGTTCATAAATAAGGTAGAAATAAGTTCCTCACGCTGATAAATAATAACTAATCTCTCTGAGGACACTGTGCTGGTGTATTCTCCTACAGCACCTTGACATGACTAAATAAATGTTATACAACATTTTGTGAACATCAATTTATTTGCATTTATTTGTTATAAATGCCACTGTATAATTCTTGCTGTCAGTATTTGCAAGATATTGGTATTTGGGTCTGTACTGGTTAGACTTAAATGAGTTAAACCAAGGTCTATAGCCCTTGGGTCATAAACTATGAGCTATAAGTATATTGGTCTTTTTATACTGGGAATCAGGAGTTATTTTAGTGATCATCTTGTTTCTTGTTTATTTTTGCCCTGATTGTGCCCTGAGCAGTTTTATGACTGAATAAAAATAAAAAAATAAAAATCTACATAAATTGAAAAATCGTCTTAAATCATCGAGATCTCAATTTCAGTCACAATAATCGTGATTATTGTTTTTGCCATCATCGAGCAGCCCTACTTTAGCATATCCGGTCACATAATGATGACGTCATATTCAGTGGTCGTTCTGCATCATTTCAGGCCTCGTGCTCAACTGTCTGAACCGCTGAACAGAAGTGCCTGGCTTATTTTCTAAGTAAAATAAATATGTGCAATACGTTGTCAACATCAGTGAGTCTCTAAGTCTATTCTTTTTGTATGTTATATATGTTAAAAAATGTGTAAATAGGTCGCTGATTAACATTTGCAATTTAGTGTTGTGATGGTTTTAAAAAAATTCTGAAGGTAGTAAAAAAAGTATTAAAAAGTAGTAAATTTTACTTAAGGATTGCTGTATATACCCTGCTAAACAGCATTTTAGTTGAAACTCTGCTCACAAATGGACTCACACTGGCTAAATAAACGAATAAATAAATAAAAAAACACATTAGTCATTATATTGTAAACGGTATACCAATAAATGGTTGTAAATATAGTACTGGCAAGTGTAGCTAGAAAGGAATAAAAAGTTGATGCCGCTACTGGGAGGCGAACCTGCGCAAAACTGCACGCCAGTCTGACTCCATGACCACTTCACCACTACATCTGATAACAGGGTAGTGGCGTCATATGTAATTGTTATACCCAGAGTGTCCTTGGAGATGGGATGTATGGTTTTTCCAGCAGTGTCTCAGTAGAAGTCATTTCAGAAATAATTTGTCAGAAAATTCACAGAATATCCAGATTTGAGAACCAAGACCAGCCCCGCTTCGGAGGAGGAGACCAAACTGAAGCTGAGATGGGAGGAAAATGCATGAATGAGGCCAAAAATGGCTTTGGCGTATTTCTTATGAGGAAATGACAATAAAACATGGTAAAAAGTTCCAAAAGTTAGATTTTTAATTATATTGAACCTTTACAAAAACTGTTCAGTTAACCTCTCAACTCCATCCTCAATCTTGCATTTTAGATGATATTAGCTAGAACACCCTCTTTGGTTCCAGAATGCTGTCAAGTCTGACAACTGGAAGGAATTGGACTGACTCTGATGGAATGGGCGGGGCTGACTCTGGTGCAGCTCCGCCTTTGTGGTTCTGCAGCGAGCACTACTTGAATTATATTGGGACAATATGATGGAGCTAATCAGCTGAGAACTTAACTGAAAGCTACAGGTGGAGCACAGACATGAAATATTTAACAAACTTTAACAAACTGTACCAATTTTGGTTCCAAAGACAAACAGAATCCTCCCCGGTGTCCCAATCGGGCCGCGGGTTTTCTGGATGAAATGGTCCAAAGCATGTCTGCACCTCTGGTTCTGATATCCAGCTGCAGGGCACGGAGTTCAGTTTAACGTCTCTGGTAACCCAACATCTGTTCTCGTTGCCGTATCCCAGAGGAAAAAAACCCAAATCTGACCGGCTAGCAGAGGCTTCAGAAGCTACATCTGACTGATGGCACGTTGTTCTCTGCTATAACGCTAACGCAGAAACACCAGAGTCAGGTGCTGTTTACTATCTCTGTTTTAGCAGAGCGCCTTGTGAAACATCACCAGCTGCCCAGGGCTTAGACCGGAAGTCAGTTTCTGTTTTTCCCGCGCCAGTAAAAAACATCAGATTTTCTTAAAATTCCAGCCGCGAAAATCCTAAAACCTTTTTCATCTGAGGTTTTAATACTTCTGTACACGTGCCGTTCAAAGGAATTTTTGCTCTGGCCGATATCTTTAAAAAAACTGTTTTTTTATGAAGCGCCTCGTGATTATTATCTTGAGATGCGCTATTTAAAAGATCGTCTTCTTTCTTTTTTCAAAGAGAAATAATAAAGTTTTGCTGCGTCAGCCTGTAGGAGTTCTTGCTGAACTTTACCAGGGTGACGTGATGTTAAATTGGGAGGAAACCTTTGCCTTTTGAGTTAGATGTTTTTTTTCTTGTTTGCTTTAATAATTTCCTCCTCAGAGACACAGTGGACATAAGGAGATAAGTCAAAATGTCCCCAGAGGACAGGTAGTGGAAGGGTTAGTCGTGAGGGGGGGGGTTAGCTGTCATTAAATCCTAATTCAGCCCACAGCCTCCTGCTGGTGTTGTTGTTGTTATTAAATATAAAAAGTTTATGATTCTTTGTGGTTTTAGTGTTTTCAGCAGCAGAGCCTGCTTTGTGCTTTGTCACATTTCATATGAGACCATTGGGTTCAAACGGATGAACCAATCGTGCCCAACGTGTTTTTCCTGTTATTTATCATATTTCAGTGATAATTGATTTAAGCTGTTAATTTAAAAACAATCATTTAAATGTAATTAAATAACCTGTTAAAAAGCACTAGAATGTGGGAAATGACATCTGCTCACGTAAGTGTTTCTGTGGGAGACCCCCAGACCAACACCCCCATCACCTGATGTCCTCTCTCTGTCCGTCCCTGGGACATGTGGCTAAACTTGTCTCAGTCGTGTCCTCTTCTCAGAGGAGCAGAAACTTGTTAGCAGAAGGTAAATGAAGACTTTGCTGCTCTGTGTTAAAGCCAAAATCTCAACTCGGGTGTGACTGAGCAGGGACACGTAGAAAACATGCAGCCGTTGCGGCTTCAAGGACCAGGTCTGCCCTCCCTCCTTATACAGTACAGAGTTTGGCCATATTTCTTCTGCTTAATAAGAAAATGTTTAGATACTTAATTCAGGGTGTCCGCGGGGTTTTAAAAAGTATTAAAAAGTGATAAATAAAAATAGTCAAATTTAAGGCCATTAAAAGTGTTAAATTTGGTCTCAGAGGTATTATTTTTTCCAAATTAGGTATTATTTTTTTCAGACTATCAGATGTCGTATTCTGAACATCGACATAGAAATATATTCCGAATGAAATGTTTTGAACGATTATAAAAACAAAACAAGCCGATAATTTGCTCCTCCCACTTGCGCTGCCTTGAGTTGCAAATGAAGCGCTCCTCCCAGTGTTGCCAAGTTAACTTAGCGACTTTGATGCTATTTCTAACAGCTTCTCAGACCCCCTTTTTGACTTTTTAAATCTTAAAAGTACCTAGGGAACACCTCAGAAACATCTCTGGTAACCCTTAGCTACTTTCTGGATAACTGTCGTCGACATTTCCTGCAGGTTAGCTAAACACTCCGCCTGCACTCCGGACCGTTCTTCAGGACATTAGGAAAGGGAATGATGTAGTGATGTGTCAGTCGCTAAAGAAACAGCTCTCGGAGCCGGCTCCCTGTTGGATTAACCAGAGTGAGTGACACACACACCGCACCTGCGGACTCCTGAGCCGATAAAAACGGCTAAATGTGCGCGTGCGGCGCGCTAAACACACGCATGTACATCTTGCCCCTGATTGCTGTGAGACCGGGTTGGGCGGTGGGGGGTGCAGCTGTGGTTGAGACAATCATTACATTAACTGATGGACTTGTAAATAAATAGTTTATAAATAAGGTAGAAATAAGTTCCTCACGCTGATAAATAACTAATCTCTCTGAGGACACGGTGCTAGTGCACGCTCCTACAGCACCTTGACATGACTCAATAAATGTTATGCAACATTTAGTGAACAGCAATTTGCATTTATTTGTTATAAATGCCACTGTATAATTCTTGCTGTCAGTATTTGCAAGATATTGGTATTTGGGTCTGTACTGGTTAGACTGAAATGAGTTAAACCAAGGTCTACAGCCCTTGTGTCATAAACTATGAGCTATAAGTACATTGGTCTTTTTATACTGGGAATCAGGAGTTAATTTAGTGATCATCTTGTTTCTTGTTTATTTTTGCCCTGATTGTGCCCTGAGCAGTTTTATGACTGAATAAAAATAAAAAAAATAAAAATCTACATAAATTGAAAAATCGTCTTAAATAATCGAGATCTCAATTTCAGTCACAATAATCGTGATTATTGTTTTTGCCATAATCGAGCAGCCCTACTTTAGCATATCCGGTCACATAATGATGACGTCATATTCAGTGGTCGTTGTGCATCATTTCAAGCCTCGTGGTCAACTGTCTGAACCGCTGAACAGAAGTGCCTGGCTTATTTTCTAAGTAAAATAAATATGTGCAATACGTTGTCAACATCAGTGAGTCTCTAAGTCTATTCTTTTTGTATGTTATATATGTTAAAATATGTGTAAATAGGTCGCTGATTAACACTTGCAATTTAGTGTTGTGATGGTTTTAAAAAAATTCTGAAGGTAGTAAAAAAAAGTATTAAAAAGTAGTAAATTTTACTTAAGGATTGCTGTATATACCCTGTAATTACATTCTAGTTTATTCAATAACTGCTTGATTATTTTCTTCCACAAAGTTCACCAGCTTGATGCTTTTAAATCATAAACGCCACGAGTCACTGGCACTTTAATATGCTTGGGGGGCTCACCTTTTTCACTTTCGACCCGTTTTCATGTCGGCTCCTTAACCAGCTGGTAAAATCACAGGTTGCAGCAGCTCAAACTCTGGTTTCTGTGTCTGCAGGCTGAGGTTGTGATGAACTACCATGTAGGAGAGACCATGCTGTCGCTGCAGAAAACTACTCTGATCCCCGGAGGCTCGGAGTCTCTGGTCTACACCACGCTGTCCGGAGGCATCGGCATTCTGGTCCCCTTCACCTCACACGAGGTGAACTGGCTTTTGTTCTCAACAATCCAAAATCATTCACCTCCATCCACTCGTCAGCATTCCTAACTTCCCAACCCTCTCCCTCCTTTTCTCCAGGATCATGACTTCTTCCAGCATTTGGAGATGCACATGCGCTCAGAGTTCCCTCCGCTTTGTGGCAGAGATCATCTGAGTTTCCGGTCCTACTACTTCCCAGTGAAGGTTGGTGTTTTGATTTCAAGATGAATCAAACTTCTGACCCGATTCTCGTTTACTCCAAACAGGATTTACATCCGGATCTTTTAGACTTTGGTTCATTTTTTATTCATGGTCCTTTTGGTTGACCATGGACTGTGTGTTGGTGTAAATGAACAAAAGAGGTTTTGGGTCTCTGCATCAGAACCGGGCAGGAACCCATCAGACCTGAGCGATGCTTCAGAACCTCCAGCGGCCCTTTAGGAGCCGACTGGTTGGAGCTGAAGCGTTTCACCTTTCAGAACCACTTTATAATCTAGAGATTATTTTTCGTTTGTGATTGTGTACACTAGGGTTGTCACGGTAACCGGTGTAGCGGTAAACCCCGGTAAAAAAAGTTGATAATAATAATAACAGTCTTGTTTTTTAAAAACTATATTATCTCGGTGGGTTGCCGTGGCTGCGGTGTAGGCGCGGTGACCCTTACCAACCACCGTATCATCTGCTGAAGTTGCTGGCGGCACATGCGCACTTTGTTGTTTACAACCAAAACTTTCTTGAAGCTAAAGCTGAAATAATGGCCAAAGGAGGAGACGGCAGCGCTCAGGACATTTATTATCCCTCAAAGAAGACAAAGTGGGAAGTACGGGCATTTTTTTGGTTATTTGAAGAACGCAGAGGGACAGTTGATAGAAGACGGCTATCCTGTTTGCAGCACGTGCAGAAAAAGTGTCTGTGAAAGGCAGCAACTCTTCAAATCTCATGACACATCTGCGTGACCATCACCCACAACTCTACAGTCAACGCAAGGCAAGCTAACGTTAGCGTTTTAGCTAAAATGCGTGATCCGAGGATTTGGGTTGAGGGAGAATGCAACGAGTCGCTATATAAAGCAGCCGCAGCGCCGCTACCTGCATATAAACCGTGTCGCGGACACCTCCATGTTGAATTGACGTTGTGCATTACGGGGCTCCCAGAGGTAGATAAGAGTTGGTCTCTCTCCGAGAATAATTATGAATTTAACAACGATTACTGCCTGATGACATTTTCCCACATCTGCAAAGCTCACTGGAACACAAACCGAGGACAATATTTTCCTGATATAGGGTTTATTACTCAAGTAAGGGTAAAAAAAAAGTATCTGATTAGAAGACTACTTGAGTACTGACTATCATCTGATCTAATATTTTTAAATGATGACATCAAACAGACAAAAAATAAGAAGTTATGGGCAAATATTGTATTTTAAAGACTAAAGGGAAAAAATGTAAATAAACAACATAATTTCAAAGTAACCCGTTTTAGGCTAAATTTAGACACAAACTGAGGACAACATTTTCCTGATATACAGGGTTTATCTAGTTGTCTGAAAATGTAACACGTTTAAAAAAATACCGAAAACCGTGATCATTTTGGTCACAATAACCGTGAAGTAAATTTTCACACCGTGACAACCCTATTGTACACTACGGCAAACCAGATATCCCTCTGGGACAAGGGTGATGTAGAGGTCAGGACCGGGACCGTAGAACTGAACTCTCAAGGATTTTTCTTTTTACAGAACGTGATCGACGGAGATCTCTGTGAGCAGTTTAACAGCATGGATCCACACAAACAGAAGAGTGTGGCTGAGGAGCTGGACCGGACCCCTCCAGAAGTCTCTAAGAAGCTGGAGGACATTCGTACTCGCTACGCCTTCTAACCACACACACACACACACACACACACACACACACACACACACAGCAGCAGCAGCGGTCAGCTGATTCTGCGGTTTAACCAGCACAATTTCCTCCTCTTCCCACACAGACGGCACACGGGTTACGGGTGTAATTACAGAGAATTTACCATCAGGTTTTCATACTGACCCGAGCCGTCTGTCATCGGCCAACCAAGATCATTTGGATGATATCTGGTGGGAAAGTTTGGTGCTGCTGGGAAACGAGGCTTAAAAATGTAAATATTAGTTTGTTTTTCATCGTTTAATAAAACAGGTTTTCTATGTTGTGATTATGTTCAACAGTTATCAGTTAGAATACAGAAACATTATTCTAGCAGGTGGAGGTGACGTCTCTCCTCACCTCCACCTGCTGGGGCCAACGGAAGCCCGGCGGGGTCATTAGACAAGGAGGAAGAAACTCAGACCAAGTGGGCAGCATTCCCATCGGTGAGTAAAGTCCCAACCTCGGCCACAGATGGCATTCCACTAAATCACTGGACTTGGGGTTTGTGGGACGAGACAGAGGTCTGTTTTTGTAAATAAAGTTGTTTTTAAAAAAAAACCTGTTGATGTTCTCGTCTGTGTGTGGAACTCATTACATCCATTAGACATCAGGAAGTGTTTTCCAGAAACTGATGATCGTCTGCAAAGTACTGGGGAAATGTCAAACCCCCACAGAACAAGTAACTTCTGTTACTGAAGGCCTTGACGTCGAAGCCATTAGTGAGAGTGGTGCCCATCTCCAGCAGTCAACGGGCAAGTAGGCAGGGTACACCCTGGACAGAGAGCCAGTCCATCGCAGGGCAACACCGAGACACACAGGACAAACAATCGTGCACACACACCTAAGGACAATTTGGACTGACCAGTCAACCTAACAGTCATGTTTTTGGACTGGGAGGAAGCCAGAGTACCTGGAGAGAACCCACGCATGCACAGGGAGAACATGCCAACTCCATGCAGAAAGATCCCAGGCCGGGAATCGAACCCAGGACCTTCTCGCTGCAAGGCAACAGCTCTAACCACTGCACAGCCCCTGTTTGAATAAAATCTGAGGACCAAACCACGCTTTACCAACCAGCTGAGCCACTTTTGGAGGGAAATTTCTATAAAACTTGTGTTTAAGGGTCAAAAGGTCACTTCAGACAATGAAATGGGATCAGATGAGTTACTTTTTTGGAGTTGGTGACGGAACAAACCGACTTCTCTGGAAACCATCTGGTGAACCACCATCAACAACCTCCTGGCCCTTGACAGAATATAATAACTCGACAGATTTAGTTAGAGGTTTTTTTTTTTTTTTTTTTTTTTTTTTTGCTTTAACCATTGTTTGTATCCACGGATATTCCCAACAAAAATCCAAAGTTTGGCATCTAAACGTGCCATTGTTTGTTTCTGCTGCTGGCTGTGGTCCAACAAGTAGCTCCAGAGCTTGCTTGGACCCATCTGGCACTTGGATCCGTTTACATGTCGGCATGGGCCCGGCGCTCCAGCTCTAGCTCCAGCTGACAGCAGCTTGTTTAAATTTCATAACAGCGGGAACGTAATGATTAGCTTCTGCGGGGATGAGAAACCCAAAAGGCTCCTCCTGGTCAGACTAAACCAGCCCGGTGAAACACAATGGCTGGATGGTGGATTTTCATAGAAACAAAACCACAAAGGAAGGTCAGTAAAATATGTAATAAAACAATAAAACTATTCTTTGCTGTGATGAGTTGATGCAGCAAACATGTGGCTTTTGTTTTTGGGAGGAGAGTTCATGTCCAGCTGCTGCAAATCAACTCAAGTGACCCCAACGTTACACCGGCTGTTAACTTCCGGTTTTCACGCCAACAGGTTAACTTAAGCATCAGAAATCTGTTTTCCATTAATTATTCTGGAAAATCCATCCATTTTCATCCAAGGCCGGGCGTCAGTCCCGATCAGAACCACCTCAGCTGGTTCCTTCTGATGATGATGAGGAGCAGCCGTCTGAGGCTGATCCCACAGGAGAGAGAGGTCACTGAAACTGCTTGTTTGGTAGATTTACAACTTTATGAATCCAGAAACACTGACATTAAAACAGGAATTACCTTTGGAGGTTATCTGAGATCATGAGGCCAAACCAGCTGGAGTATTATTGGATACAGAATTTAGTTTCTGATTTTTCTTAAGATCAGGTTGTAGACCAAGTCTGAGATCAGGTATTCTAAATCGAACATCTAAATCTGCCGTCTCCACCGTGATGAAAACAGTCAGCATTCCTTCTAAGGGGAGCTTCTCGGTCTGTTTGTGTTTTATGTTGCAGAAGTCGCTGGATTTGTTCTCTTGCTGTTTTGGCTCCAAAAAGCTGCACTTGACCAACTCAGGCTGCGTGTGTGTTTACATGTTTCACATACTGTTGTCTAATTATAGTCACATAATTGTGTGTTTGGTGGTTTTATTGTTTTCACGTCAGAAAAAAAATGTCACGTTATAGTTTTTCGGTCCTCAGAGCCACAAGCATGCTGATGAAGAGGAGCTGTGGGACGACGTGCAAACACACAATCCACCCCATTTACCCCCTTTTTTCTCAAGAGACCCTTTATCTCCTAGATCAGCCCCCGAGCCGGTAAGTGACATTTTATAAATCTGCAGGAGCAGAAAGCAGCTCTGTGAAGGAGAGGAAGTGAAACAGTTTTGTTATCAAGCACTGGAACAAACTCTTTAAAAGTCACATTTATCCATGATGCTGTGAGGTCTGTTAGGCTCTGTTCCGTAAACTGAAAACATTCCCGTTTTTCTGCTTTCACGGTTTCTGTCTCTCATTGATCCATTTCTGATGTTTCAGAAACATCTTGTCTGATTCTCCAGGGGTCTCCTGCTTCCTGTGGTTTCCCTCAAAGTGGTTCTGGACCCCCAAGGCAGCTGTCAGTCTTCCCAGGAGGAGCCGTCGCCGGCAGGTTCACACCAAGGTCAGAGGTCAGCTGTTAACATGATGATTTGATAAAGACTGAGCAAGTTTACCTTGTTTCTGATTTAAGTCTGGTAGTTTTCAGTATTGAAACCAATTTTTTTTTACATAAAAACTGAAAGAACATTCGAAATCCAGATTTAGACCAATTAGATCTGTTAAACATAAAATATGAATTCAGAATCAAAAAGCCTTTATTGCTAATGTTTGTGAATGCAATGAGACAATGAGCACGCAAAAGGTGGACTTAAAGGAAACAACTTTTAAAATGTTCTATGGTCGGTATAAAGGATTTTTAGAAGTTCTTTGCATTTTCGGTACCTTCCAGAATGAGCCTTTTCAGGGCTCTGCCACTTTAAGAAAATAAGCTGCTGCTGGCCACACCGAGCAGGGTCCAGCCAGCAGCAGGGCGTTTCTGCTTGGCCTACAAAAACACCTTAGTGGGGGTTACTGTAGATTCTCACTAACCAATCAGATTGGGCTTCAAAATATGTAATTTTCCTTCTAAGCTAATTGATCGTGTCGCGCCGCCACACCTATAGAATACATTGTTTGTTGATCTTTTTCAAGATATTGTAATGACAACTTCTTTTTCAGATCTTCATTCCAGGTTACTGTTGGCTGCAACCCACGCCTTAGCTCCAGGAAAAACAATGTTAATAATCTCCGTTCAAACTAACTCGTTTTCTCTTTCTAAACAACCGAACCGGAACTCTCCTCACAACCGGCCAAGAACATCCCTTCAACATAAAAGTCCAACCATAACAAATCGTAACCCGTTATTGTAAAACAACAACATAAAGCATGATATATAGCCTACATTTGCACAATTATATTAACCATACTCATAGTTTGAAATTAATTAAAAATCGTGAAACGTTTAAATTTTACTTTATTTTGAAAACCCACTTGCTTTTTCCTGTCTAGCTGCGGTGCATCGGGTGCGTTTCTCATGAGAGACGGTCTGAAGCAGAGGAGAAAAGTCCGTGTCTCACCGTATTGACAGTCTCCTGTTTCAAGTTTAATATTTGTAGAAACTGTGGATAAAGCAGGAGGCGGGACTTAAACACAGGTTCGGGTTCAGAGAGTGTGGAGCGCGCTCACATCAAACCAGCAACATAAAATGAAAGGGCAGGGTGAGCACAGAAGATCAATAACTGTACAAAAAAGACGGAGAACAGAAAGATGAGCGGAGAAAATATCTTATTTTGAAATATCGGAGGTGAAGTAACATTTCAGGAGCGAATAAGAAGGGGGCGTTCCCATTTACAAACCAAAACACCCCTTTTAGCAGCTGGCCAGAGGATATTGGCCACACCCACCCACCCCCTGATTGGCTGCATTAAGGTGAAGAGCTCAGATGTTTGGGAGGGGGTTGGTCCCTTATTGGGACACCACAATAACCTTTCCACTGGATGCGTGAGCGGCGCGAAGGTCCACACAGCGCGAGATTTAGCTAGCCACCATTACGGTCACTGGCTTGTTTCTACCGGCTGTGGAGTGGTGGTCTTGTTTGCAGAAGTTTAGTACTGAGGCGCTCCACTAATTTACTCACCGGGTCTTTTTTTTTTTTACACGCTACACTTTCAGAACACGTCGAGCTCAGCAGTTCAGATCAGGTCAGACACGGGAGCTATTCCTGTTTCCTGTTGCTTGACTACAAAAACAAAACTGTCATTACCTGTGACATCTCCGTGGTGGAGGTAAGAACAGGAAGTACACCAGACGTTTTGGAAACATGCTGCCATCTTTCTCCTTGCTTGTGATCTTGTGATTCTCCTGTGATTTATGATAAATGACCCGCACTTGTATAGCGCTTCTCAGAGTAAGGACTTCAAAGCGCTTTACACTACAGTGTATCATTCATCCATTCACACACACACATTGGTGGGGATGAGCTACGATGTAGCCACAGCTGCCCTGGGGCGCACTGACAGAGGCGAGGCTGCCGAGCACTGGCGCCACCGGTCCCTCCGACTGCCACCATTTCCTGATCTTGTCGAAACCAGCTGCGTGGAATAAATGAGTCGTTTCTGATGCGGTGGGTTAGGGTTAGGTGGCGTTGGGCAACTTAAAGTGGACTTATTGCACTGATTTTGTTTTATTTGGGCCTAAACTGACACCTTCTCCTCCTTTTTTTGCTTTTGATGGTATGTGTCAGGTTTAGTGTTTCATTTTCCTCACACACCTTCCTTTGAGCCATCCACTTGGATTAAATCTGGATTAGCAGCTCATTCGGATTTGATTTGTATGGTAAATGGCCTGTATGTAACATACATAATATAACCCCCCAAGGCGCTTTAGAACAGAATTGGTCATTCACTCAATGACACACATTGGTGGTGATGAGCTACATCGTAGCCACAGCTGTCCTGGTGCGCATTGACAGAGGCGAGGCTGCCGAGCACTGGCGCCACCGATCTTTCCGACCACCACCAGCAGGCAGAGGGAATTTAGCGTCTTGCCCAAGGGCACAACAGCAGCATTCTCTGTTGGCACTATGTGTTTGAATCGTGATAAAACATGGATGGTCCTGGCTGTTTTAGGCCACAAAAGGAACCATCAATGAGCCTTTTCATGTTTCAAAGCTAATTTGTGAAGAAGTTTACGACCAGCAGCCAGTTTCAGTT